AAATAATTTGCATCATTGAAGGCGACTATTCAATAAATCCTTACTCTGAAATTGGTAGTAAAAGGGAAAGAACTAAACATTTGCCTTGGCTTTTTAGGGGAAATTGTATATCATCCTAGTTAATCAGGAAAAACTCATCTTTAGAAAAGAATGCCAAAGAAGGAGTGGTAACATTTGAAAGTCATCGTTTTGCAACTTCTAATGAAATCATTGATTCAAGCAAGTATCATCAATGGTGAAAGATTATTGCGGAACAGGATATTCACACAGTGACAAAGCATCACTTCACAAGTTACTTACCAATTGCATAGAGCACAAAGGAGAGATCTGACAGTTACCACTTTGGCCAAATGATCAACCTAAGCATTAATAATATGGGATACACTTGCATTGTGTTCCTCCTGATGTGATGAGGATGAAACTCACAGAATTGTTTATAACCTATTCTTGCCAAAAGTGTTTAACCTGAGTCTAATTAAGTTTTTAGACGTTAAGTCAAATATATAAAAATTTTAGAGACTCTAAGAACAATCAAATTATAGGGAAACTTATAGAGGAATCCCAAATGTGAAATAGTCTATAAGACAACATTTTGGATTTTTCCAAAAGTCATTATCATTGGCAGAGAAAGAGTAGGGTGAGCTCTAGCTGAAAAGAGACTAAAGAGACATAACAACCAAATACAATGTATGAAACTTGATTGGTTCTTGGCTTGATGAAAACAGCTAAAAAAGCATTTTGGGGAAAATTGGAGAAAATTTGAATATGAGCTATATATTAAATGATATGATACTAAGAAGTGAATATCAATTTTCTTAGACATGATGACATTGTGGTGATATATAAGAAAATTCTTATTTTTAGAAGACGCATATTTGGGTGTGAATATTTAGGTGTGAAGTGTGATCATTTCTAGAACTTTCTTTCAAAACAAATGTATCTATATGTACATTTTCCAAAACTTATATATATGTATACGTGTGTGTGTGTGTGTAAAAATAAAGCAAATAAGGCAAAACGGTAACCATTATTGAATTGATGTTGAATCCAGGTAGAAGTTGCATAGGTATTTATTTTACTATTGTTTCAACTTTTCCAGATGTTTAAACTTTTTCGTATTAAACAGTTTGGGAAAATTTTTATGCCTCTTTTCCTTTTATGCTTCCACCCTCATCTCTGTCCCCATTGGTACTCTCCTACTACCACACTTCATCATCTCTTGCCAGAAATATTGTGGTGGCCTCCTAAGTAGTTTCCATCTGCAGTCGAAATGCCCTCCAGGCCATCTGCCAGAGACAGCTTCCTAAAAGTCAGCTCTTACCATTTGCCTACCCTGCTTCCCTTCATTAGTAGTCACACCCTCCTCCCCCATCACCCACATGGTAACATCTGAATATGCTTAGCAAGCAAGACCGTTTACACTTTCACTCCAAACTACTCTCACATCACATTCTCATTCAGGGTATTCTCCTGCCATCTCATAGCCTCTGCTCTACCAGGGGTCACAGCCGCAAATGCACACGGAGAGGACTGGGAGTAAAATAGTAGAGGGTGTGGGGTCTGGGGTGGACAAGGGAGAAGGAACCCCCTCTAAAAGGGGTAGCTATTACTCAGGACCAGTTGAATGCGGGCCCAGTGTTGCTAAATCCTTGTGTTTCCAGTAAGTTAGAAATAAAGATTTGTATACACATTCTCCTAATTTTAAACACTGATGAGTAATTTATTTTTTTTAAAACACTGCAGGCTGAACAAAAAGTTATGGGCTGCAGTGTGACTCCTCCATGACTGAATGCTCACTCTTTCAAACTAACCTCTATGTCATTCTTCCTTCTTTCTCCTTGGTCTGGAGTATTTTCTCCATCCTTTTCTGAGTGAAATCCTACAAATCCTTCAAATCCTAGCAAGCAAGGCATTCACCTTCCCTAACTCCCCCAGGCAAAGCCGGCACCCCGTCTGCAGAGTGCCTAGCCATTCCTACAAACCTTCATCCCAGGACTTGTAACAGAATTACATATTTGGTTGTCGGGCTTCTCCCGCTGGATTCTGAACCTCATGATTAAGAGCCATGTTAATGCCTTGCTGTCTTTGCTGTGCTGCTCAGTGTCTGGTATGAAGTCAGCATTCAATGAACATGTGTTGACTGAGTTGCGGGTTGTTAAAAGTAATGCTTTAGAAGAATTTAGGACATGGCTTCTAGGGCTTTCAGTTAGAAATGTGCTTAAGAATGTCTATGAATCAGTAGAAGAAAAATTTCTGTTTTATTCCAAGTAAGATTGTCTTCTGGGATCATTTTTCTAATATAGGAAATCAGGTAAATAAGTTTAGTTTTAAAAAGAAAAAAATTCTCAAAATTGGATTCTTTCTGGCCTTTTAGCCCAAAAGAATGATAACAGCATTGTTTCAAGGATTGTCTTTCTAGGACAATCTTGGTGAAGATCAGGCCAAGGATCCAGACGGCTTCAGTAACCTACCGATGTGCTAAACCTGTTTAAACCTATGGAATAACTGAGTGGTGGGGTGTGTGCTGACTCAAGTCTCCTCCTCTCCTGGGGACATCAATTCCTATCAGTGCCCTACACATCCATTCTCTCCTTCTTGTCTCTTTCATGCCTTTCTTTTCTGGAATGCTTTCTTTCTTTCATTCACGATTCCTTCCAAAATCCAGCCCAAAATGAACTTCTTCCATAGAGTCTCTGATAAATGTCATCTGACTTGATTGTTCCTTTATAATATATTCTCCATTTGTCTGTGTTCCTTTATGTTGGCTATGGCTTACTCCAGTGTAAGCTATATAATTAGAATGATTATTATATTAAGAATAAGACAATAAGAATCATTTGAGGGCCATTGTTAAAAATAATAGCTTCATAGACCCCTCCCTGGAGATCCTGATTTGGTGGCCCCGGCATGGAGAAGGGGATGGGTACAGGTATTTGTATTTTTCAAAAGTGCTACAGGTAATTCTTATCATCAGGCAACTTTGGGAAACACTGGTCTCCTCTTTACAAGCTAGGATTTGAGGTAAGACTGATCAGAATTTGAGGTGGGCTTTGGCGCTTCTTAGCTGCGTGCAACATTAGCTAAGTTACCATGTCCAACAGCCATGGTTTTTTATCTGTAAAATGGGAAAGATAAACACTATCACAAGGTTGTTCTAGGGAATTAAGTGATTCACATTATTAGCATTAGAGCTTTAGCACAGTGCCTGGAACATTCTAAATTCTCAGTAAATGTTGACAATTATGTTTATCTTTGCTTGAGTATATAACTGATTCAAAGACTGGATGGTGGTTTCTTTGATTCTGTAACACTGTGGTGATTTAGGGTAGGGTGACCCAGAAGATTTTACCCCAGCCAAAGACTGGGACCCTGCCAACCTCTGCCAATGTTTCATTGCCTCAACAAGGTGTCATCCTTTGTCCTCTTTCTTTTTACCTGTCACCTCCATTAAATTATAGGAAGGTCTTTGAAGCCAGTGACTCTGTCATGTACGTTTGTTACATAGTAGATCCAGTACCCTGCACAGTAGGCTACTAGCAGAGGGTATTATCTAGTAGAATACACATTTATTTCGTAGCGTTCTAGAACCATCATTTCTTACTTAGGTTACAACAGCTCCTAGTGGGTCTTGGGGTCCTACACTCTTGCTCCTCTGCTATCTAGTCTCTGCACAGCAGCCAAAGTGATCTTTGAACAATGTAATCACAGAATGTCATTCCCGTTTGAAATCTTCCAATGCTTCCCACTGTACGTAGAGCAAAATCCAAACTCCTTACCGTAGCTGTATAAGCCCTGCATGATCTGGGATAGGCTGTCTGTCTGACTTCATCTCCCGTCATTCACTTTCAGGATGCACATTCCCGTAACTTCACTGTTCCCTGCCCTGCGCTGTCCTTTCCCTAGATATCCACATCATTCAGCCCAGATGTCACCTTCTCAGAGACCTGGCTTCACCTCCTTTTCCAATGTTTTTCTCCCATTAGTTTCCAACCCTTTACCCTGCTTTATTGTCTTCTGATCACTTACTACCATCTGATATTGCACATATCGGTAGCTGATGTTAGCTGTCTTGTTTATTGGAAGTTCCACGAGAGCAGGCATCTTGTCTGTCTGGTATTCCTAGCACTGGGCTCAGAACCTGGTACATTTCATGTGCTTGGTATATATTTGTCAAATTGATGAGTGAACTTTACAAATAGACTAAAGAACATCTACAGAGTCCAGTAGATTCCAAGTTTTGTAAAGCAGAGGAATCTTTTATCAAACATAATACTTAATTATTAATATGTGTTTGTTTAATTCTTTTTGCTTATTTCTTGGCAATCAATAGGCTTCTATACACATAAAAAGTTCTTTGCAAGTACTTAACAATTTAATGCATCCTTTTTCAATGAGAGCTACCACCAGGGGGAAATCAATGCCCTGACTTGGCATGGGGTGGACAGTGAGCTGTGGACAGTGAGAAATCTGTCTGGAGGAGAAGCAGGCCTGACAGGGACAGGTGAGAGTGCTGAGTGTTCTGGCGGCATGGCTACTCTAGGGCTTCCCAGCTGCTCTGCAGACAGAGGGAGGAGGAAGCAAGAGAGGCAAGGCCATCATTTGGAGCTCCCAAAGGAGAAACAGCAGGAGAGGGCTCTTTAATGCTGGCCCAGGCATTGGTGAGACACTGACTGGCCTGGAACAGCCCTGGGCCATGGCTGCAGTGCTGCAGAAAGGATGGCAGTGTGGTGGTGGCAGCAGTGATGGTGCCACAAGAACAACATCTCAGGGAGGTATTGATGTGTGAAGCAGCTTCCCACCAGGCTCAAACCATAAGAGACTTGGGAAGGAGGTAAGGACTGCAGTGACAAACAAGTGGCAGCAAGGAGGGCATTTGACCCCTCATACTCTTCCAGGTGACAGGAAAGGATTCAGAGACCTTTAATTCCAGCAGGTGAGCATGTGTGATCTCAGCCAGAGCTATTGGTTTTGTTTTCATTTGGGTTTAATTTATCTTTCAGTATCATTTTCAAGGATTAAACACACCCAGAAATGACAGAGATGTTGGTGTTAGCAAGCAAGGACTTTGAAACAGCTCTTATAAACATACTTAAGGATTCAGAAGAAAATGTGGACTCAAGTGAATAGAGGGACAGTCTCACTAGAGAAATGGAAACTATTTTAAAAAACCCTAGAAATTCTATAACTGAAAAATAAAATATCCAAAATGAAAAATAAAAATCACTAGATGGGCTTAAGAGCAAATTGGATTCTACAGAAGATAAAAATTTGTGAATTTGAAGACAGATAAATTATCTGAACTGAAGCACATAAAGAAAAAAGGCTAAAAAAAATGAACAGAGCCTCATTCACTTGTGGGGTAGTATGTGGTGGCTTATCACCTGTCAAACTGGAGTCCGAGGAGGAGAGGAGAAACCGACTGAGGCAGAAAAAACATTTAAGAAAAAAGGATGAAAAAAATCCAAATTTGATGAAAAATATTAACCCATGAATCTAAGAAGCTCAGTGAACCCCAGGCAGGACAAAAATTTTAAAAACTACCTCTGGGCACATCATACTCAAATTCTGAAAACCAAGAATCAAAGAGAAGAGTCATAACAGCAGCCAGAAGAAAAAGACTCATTCTGCACAAGACCTAGAGGAATGATAAATCCGACTTCTCAACAAGCCAGAAGACAATCAAACAACATCTTTAAAGTGATGAAAGAAATAAAACCTATTAACTTAGAATTAGAAACCTAGTGAAAAGAGCCTTCAAAAATGAAGGCAAGAGAGAGAGAGAGAGAGAGAGAGAGAGAGAGAGAAACATTCCCAAATAAGCAAAAGCTGAGAGAATTTGTCAGCAATAGACATGTACTATAAGACATGTTAAAGGAATTTCTTCAAGCTGAAGAAAGTGACACTAGATGCAAACTCAGATCAACATGAAAAATGAAGAGTGCTGACCATGGTAAATACGTGAGTAAATAGAAATTACTTTTTTTCTTGCTTATTATTGAATGAGTAAAATTCTTAAGTGTAGAGCTGAGTTCTTAGTGGACATTGCAGTTGTTGGAGTGTCAGGAAATCTGGAGCCCGGTCCATTTCTATGACCTTAGATAAGTGGCCTAATATTCTTATCTTGGTTTGATCATGGGCCAAGTAGGACTCTAATACCTCATATTCCTCTCTCCTTGGCAAGCATTAAATAAATGTTTCCTTTTACCACTGCCAAACACCTCAAAAGAGCTACCTACCCATTGCTTCTCAAATTTAATGTGTGTGTGAATCACCTGGGGATCTTGTTAAATTCAACCACAATAATAAAGTCATTGTGGTATTGGTAAAAGGATAGAGAAATAGATCAATGGAGTAGAATAGAAATTTATTCTTTTTTTCCCTTTTACTTCTAATCTATTGTCTTTATACTCATATTTTATATTTAAAGCATCTCTCTTACAAAGTGTATAGAGTTGGTTCTTGTCTTTTTATTCAGTTTTATAATCTCTGCCTTTTGATTGGAGTGTTTAGTCCAATTACATTTAATATAAGTATTGATGTTGAGTTTACGTCTACCATCTTGCTATTTGTTTTTTCCCAAGTGTTTCTTTTGTCCCATCTGTTTTTAATTCCTTTGTTTCTCCTTTTCTTCCTTATTTTGGATTTATTGAGAATTTTTAAGTACTCCATTTTATTTCTTCTATTGGCTTAAAAGTTATACCTCTTTGTTTTATTTTTTAGTGGCTGATCTAAGGATTGCAACCTGCATTGTTTACTTAGCAGAGTCTACTATGATTTCATATTATATCACTACATGTGTAGTATAAAAAACTTTCAAAAGTATATTTCCTATTTTCCAGTTTGTCCTTTGCACTATTATTTTCATATATCACACTTCTACATATGTCAAAAATGCCCCACAATAAGTTTTTACTATTTTTGCTTTAAATAGTCAATTCTCTTTTAAAGAAATTAAGTGAAGTTGATATTAGAGCAATCCTGGAAAACTTTTCTCTGCTTACTGTATTTTCCACACATAGTATGAGAAGTCCTCTACAGTCCCTACCTGCTGGGCTGGGTAAAGCAATCTGTCAGTGAAGTTACCACTGCTGTCCCAATGGCTACTTCTCAGAATCTCTTCAAAATTCACACTAGTGAAAGAGGAGAGCAGGATGCTTAGAGAGGAGGGCAAATACCTCTAAGAGGATGGGGAGAATGAAACCTCTTTAAGTCTATATTTTAAAATCTCATTAAGCTTCATTTCTTATGAAGTATAATTTGAAGAGATATATTTCTTTTTAGAAAACAAATTATAGGGCACTTGGGGGTTAGTTCACCCAGGGAGATGTTGATAATTTTATTTGAATTGTCAGTAATACTAGTTCCAGCTGCTGAAAGCAAAATGCAAGCTAAAGAATGAGTCTTTACTTGAAATCCCTGGGCAAAGAAAGTCCTTTGCTTCCTCTCAATGCCACCTGTTATGGGAATAAGGGGGTTTGAAGAAAATATGTCATTGATGATTTTTGAAAATAATATTTAACATGAAAGATTACATTTTTATAATTTTAATTTTTTTTTTAACATAGAAAACTCAGGTTGCCTTAAATCTTCAAGTGACATATTTGGGTTAAAATTGCATTCAACAATATACCATACACTTCCTCATCATCTGAATGTTTTCAATCACTGTGCATCCCTATTAAAATACACGTCTACATTATACTTTAAAACTGTATTTCCTTGGGATATTCTCATATTTTTTAAGAATAGAAAGCTTGTCTAAGACTTCTCTATGACAGGAATGGAAGCCTTGCTAACATCTGAATCATACTCAGTGTAAAAAAGAAAATTGGAGCCGTCTCAACACTCAAGTACCCTTTTTTGGCATTGAATGGTACAGTATTGGTATAAAAAGGGCTGCTTTTTTTAAAAGAAATATTCAAAATGTTACTAAGCACCATAGTTCTTCATCTTTGGAAATACTGTGGCTTTCAGGGTCACTGACTGTGTGTCATATACCAGTAGAAAGCATGACTCATCAGCTGTGGACATTCTTTGCACTCTTAGCATTGTTCATGCTATTTCTTTACCTCACGGGCTGTTTGACACCTTTCATTAAAATAAGAACTCATGTTTGTGATTTGTGTGCATCAAGTTATTGGGTCTGTGGTTGGCCTTCCAGCTGTCCACCTGCCTGAGTTCAGGGGAAAGTGGGCATGGTTGTCAATGTCAAGGCAGTGTTCTGTTACAGTAAATCCAAAAAACTATTAGTATCCAAAAAACTTCTGGTATAGGAATTAGTTTTTTCAGTTTTGAATTAACGAAGGAGAAACACAAGCTATGAGCAATGTCTATAAATAGACTTGGTTCTTTCATGAGGAATGTGCTCCATGTTAGCACCTGCAAGAAGATAGCGTGTGTCATATTAGTTTTATAATATCAGTGTTTGTACAAAATGATGGCAGGAAGACAAATTGGGTTTTATTCTTTATTACTTATTCTTAGTTGAAGATACTCCTGTGAGGGCTTATGGTATTAGGTTAAACCGTGTGAGATTGCTATTTGAGTAGGCAATTTTATATGGCTCTAGGAGACAAGGTATATTTTAATTAGTTCTCTCTATATCATTGTGAGTCTGCCACAAGTATTTTAAATTAATACATATAATTTAAAAATTGGGACTTGAAAGGCAAGATTTGTTTGTTCTCCTTCTTGCTCTGTTTTTTATTCTTTGTCACTGCTCCTTTGCTTTCAAGGAAATGGAGAGTCTGTATATGGAACGTCTCCTGATACTTGGCCATTCTGTAGCCCCTTGAGGGGCAAACAAGTAAAAACACAAATATTACTTGCTCATTTGTGGGTTAAAGTCATCTTTCGATCCTTCTAAGAATAATTTAAACTTGCAGCTGTTCCTTTATGATTTTTTATGAATTCATTTTTCTGTAGAGAAGACAATTCCATCACAGGAATACGTTAGAAGTGCTGAAATGCCTTTCTCCTCTCAATTCATCCATATTTCTCCATTTGCAGTTTCATCTGTATAGAAAAGGAGCTCTGGTAGCTTCTGCTGAGAGTTTTCAGTGGGAAATGCTTCCAAAAGAAAAAAAGACAAAGAAAAAGCAACAGCTATTTTGTAGACTGCATTTCTAAAATTATATTCAGGTAAGTCAATTTTAGATGCCATCCCTTACAGCTAAAAGTAAACACATTTGATTTAATCATGTTAATCAAAATGTTCTTGCATTCAAGTGGTCTGATACATCAGTACTCCTGGATGGATTTAAATTATATTGACAGAAAACATCCATTTCCTCACATTTTCAAATACCAAGCAAGTTTTAGAACCTGGTCTACAGCATGGTTGTTTTTGAAAAAAATGTAATTCAGCTGAGGCTGATCTTGTTTTTCCTTTATTCTCTAAGCCAGAAGCAATTACTTTTCATTTCAGGATTAAGCAGCTGTAACATTGCCATTCATCGCCGAGGCTCCTGGTTTCAGCATGTCTCGTTGGTTCCTGGCCAGTGCTGGTTGTTCAGGTAGCAGCGGTGGCTGGGAGTGCCTCTCCAGCCTGCATTCTTTGGCTATGAATTTTATAGCCCTGTTTATCTGATGAAGACCTCCCCATAGTGAGTTGCTCATGACATGGTCACACAGACCACGAATGATAGGGAAAGATACTGGATGTTTCTCTTCCTGGAAGGCCAACCAATCCTGAATTTCCCAGTTCCTTTACTCTGGCTGATTGCTGCAAAGGCCTGGTGCTGAGATTGGATGAGACTCTGCCCTGCATGAACCAGATTCTAGCAGGATGCGTGCAAGTCCTCTCTGTGAGTTGTCACTGAAGCCTGTTCAGAGAATTTTCAACAATTACATTTGCCCAAACATTGGCTCTCACTTCTCTGTGCTATTTCCTTCAGTTTATACTTTTAATCTATAAATGCTATCACCAACTTCAGTGCTTAAAGACCTCTCTTCCTTCTCTTGAAACCGTGACTTTGCTTGGGACGGCTTTAGAGCATGGCTTTCTCACTGTTTCATGTATCTTCATTTTCCTTCCTAAACCGGACTGTAAATTCTTTGAGAGAGGACTCCCTGAAAATTGGTAATATCTTATTTAGACAGTAGACAGAAAAAAACATTAGGACAGAAAGACCCTTGTTGCTCTTAATAACCCATAAAATTGCCTCAGTGTCTTCAGAAGACCCTAGATCATCTGCTGTAATGTGCTACTCCTCTCCTTTCCCCTGCCTGCCCTCTGCTGGAACTGCTAATGAGCAATAAGATAGACAAGGCAGGACATCATATGAGAAATGTGGGAAAACAGGGGTGTTGTCTGACTGAAAAGCAAATTGAATAACTGAATTGTGAGTCTACAATCTAGATCTTTAAAGCTCCTCCTTATGTGCCTTTGGATGACTATAAGCCTCATTATAAGACTCCTTATTTGTTCAACTGTGCACCAGGATGTGATTCTGCCTACTGGCATGAGAGGGACAAATGAGCTTGTGTGTCCTCCTCCTCTGTGCTTGTTCCATCTCCAGAAACATGCAATAGACGGCAGATAGCTGAGCCAGGTAGTCTCCCCTGTCAAACACAAATGCCCTCCTTATACACCAGCCTCAAGGCCTTCACCACCTTCATATATAAGAGGCATGTACGAGGATCTGGCAAGACTGCCAGTTTGGTAATGGAGAAGACAAGTTTGAAACTCTAGACCGGTTTCCTGTTTCCAAGGGCAGCAGGATATGACAGCTGCTGAGGCAGCCCATTTGCCCTTGGAGAGGAGAAGCAAGAGTGTCGGATCACTAGATGACCTCTCCCTACTGCTGGCTCAAGGGTAGTGTGGGTAGTTCCCCTCCTGTTCTTGGTCAGGAGGCTAGATGATATGAAAAAGAAGAGGAAAACATGTTTTTTCCTTTTTTTGTTATTGCAAGAGGGCACTCTCTGGAGAGGGAGAATCCATTAGCTGAATCCATTTCAGTATCTATGGTTAATTAATTTAGGCAGTTTTAATGCACTCTTATTATATAGCCTTTAAGAGCTGTTCTGGTAAATGTCCATCCCATAAATACTATCACTACTTTATACATATGATATCCTTTTTGGAAGGGTGGATCTGAGTTATCCAGATATTAGTTTGTACGCAACCCTGTCTAGACATTGCAAAAATGCTTCCTCATAGTTTGAACATTATTCGATACATTTTGAAGTGGGAAAACACTGCTCAGATATGACACTCTACATTTTAAGTCACTGGATAAGTCAGTCTGCTCGCCTCCCAAAACATAATTTTGAAAGTCAGTTTTACCATTCTATGGACTGAATAATTGATTTCTGCATTTCAGTCTGTAAATTAAACATTAGACTTTGAATTACTAGAAGAAATAGCACGGTTAGCCAATAAACCTTTCTTATAAAATGATAGCATTTTAATTTATTATATGCATTAGCATTTATTCATGCCTAAGATTTCATCGATCAATTTTCCATTTAAAAAAGATGTCTCTGGAAACAACAGTGGAGAAATGCTGAGTTCCAAAAGCAATGTTGTGAAAGGCAGCAGGTCTAGTATTCTGGGTACATGTTTAAATATTAGTCAACAGCTCTGTAGAAGCCTACTTTTTAAAGTATCTACCTTATGAATTGACTCTCTTGGAATGTCAGAGTTTAAAAAAGAAAATATTTAAATTTCACTATTTAAGAGGTGTGCTGTATTTGCTCAAAATTACAGCAACCTCTGATTTTTTTTTAAATATTTATTTTGCCACTTGACAGGCTTCTTCTACACTCCTCTTGGGTTTTAATTTTGTTTACAGTAGTACATTTCAATAGTTGGCTTCAGATTAAATAAATATTAGTATTTTGTGATGCTTTTATTAATTAGTTGCTTTTGAAAAATATTTTAAGTTGAAATTTACTCCAAAATAGAATCTCTAAGAATCATTACCACCAGATAAATGTTAACTTTAAATCATTTATTTCATTCATTCAACAAAATTGTATTTAACACATATCAGGACTGACTTATCCATAGGCAAGGTAGGCAGAGTACCTGGAGCCCACGATACTTTTAGGGTCCTATGGAAATGTTTTAATTTCTTTTAAAATAAGAAGAAAAAAATGAAATTTTAGGTCAAGAAAATATTTTAATATATAATATTAAACGTTAGTATTTATATCAACATAGTCATAAAATACAATTTTAAGGGGATGGCCCAGTGGTGTGGTGGTTAAGTTTGCATGCTCCATTTCAGTGGCCTGTGGTTCATGGGTTTGAATCCTGGGCACGGACTTAGCACTGCCTGTCAAGCCATGCTGTAGCAGCATCCCACATAAAATAGAGGAAGATTGGCACAAATGTTACCTCAGCAACAGTTCCCAGGACCCATGAAAGTCATAATGAAACCTATGCCAAATCTTGTCTATACTAGTTTCTAAGGATAAAAATATGAGTAAGACACAATTTCTGTGCCCAAAGCATACACAGTCCAATGAAGAAAACGGACACGACACAGATAGTTCATAATTTGGTTTCCTTGAAGTTGTTTGAAATAATAATTATGGTTTGAAGAACAGAACCGTTTTACTACAAAATATCGTTTAACACATAGACTTGGTCTTATCCTTCTTTCAGTTAAACTTATGCAAAAATAGGGTTTGCATATATTTTAATGGTACATAGCACGACTATATGTTTATTCATTTCAAATACCACTGATATTACCATCCACACTATTACCATACTTTAAGTCGGAATGTTCATATTTTAAAAGCACACTTCATTAACAGGGCCACAAAGGAAATGCCAGCCCTAGATATTGACGGTTCAATGAGGAAAATGAGAAAAGAGGTTTGCTTCTCCCTAGCTTAGCAAAGCTCACTTACTTATGTCCTTTGGAATTTTATTGCGTCTTCAGAAATGGAATAGAATCTTGGGTGCACTTTCTCTCTTCATAAAATTTCTTGCTTATATGAGATTCAGCATATATTTTTTCAATTACTGTTTCTAAAACCATAATTAGGGTAGTCCGAATGCTCTGCTTAACCTAAATCTTCCGTGTTAATATTTGGGCCCACTTGCTCATTTTTTTGTTGTTAATTGGAGAATGATTTTTGATATTTTTTATTTTTAGAGCAATTTTACCTGCTTTTTGCATAAGTAAGACATCATAGGGCATTGGGAAGAGCACAGGCTTAGACAAACCTGGATATGAATCAGAATTCTTTCACTCCAGCTGTATGATCTTGCTCAATTCAGTTAATCTCCTTGCATCTCAGCTTCCTCGTCTATAAAATAGTGACCATTATGTGTGTGTTACAAAGTTGCTGTAGGAATTAGAATAATGTATGTTAAGCATTGGACCAGTACCTGTAATATAGTGGATGCTAAGTAGATGCTATTATTATTGGCCATACTTTACAAATTAGGAGACTGAAACACAGGCATATTAACTTACCTTGGCCAGGGTTAGGGACTAGGGCACCCAGTTGTTCTTGGAAAATTTCAGCCTTACTTTTGATCAAGGCTTATTGAGAATGAGGTTGTAGGACACAAAGGAAGTACAGAAGCAAAAGGTACAGAAAAGGCGCTGACATCGAAGGAACCAGATAATTAATATATATTTACTGAGCATCTTGTAAGTATAAGATATTCTGTGCACAAGCTGGGCCACTTTGGGTTGCAAATGACAGAATCTCAACTTGCCCACACAAAAGGAGAATTTGTTTACTGGTGAAACTCAAGCACAGGATGTAGGGAACTGGTCTTGGGGATGTCTGGATTCAGTGGCAGGAACACTTTTAGGGCTCACATCTTTTATTTCTGACTAGTGTTTCTGGTTCCCTTTGCAGATGGCTTTCTTCATGCCATGGGAAACACGGCTCCTAGCAACCTGGGTCTCTCATCTCGTCCTAGAGTTCTTCTACCAGCAAAGAAAGAGGATTTCTTCCTCTTTGGCAGCAGCCTGAAAACAATGCCAAGAATGACTTGCATTGGATCAACTTAGGTCACATACTCCTCTCCAAACCAATCACCAAGCCAGGAAGATGGGGTAATATGAATGGTCCAATCAAGAGCATGTCTCCACCCTTGTCATTAGAATGTTTTTTTTATCCTATGGAAGGAGGTGGATGGGGCAAGCAAAAAAGGGAACCTTATTGTCTATGAAATGTAATAGAGAAATTAGTATTTTAATGGTAGGGCTAGGTTAAAAGAGCCAAAAAACTAGAATCAGGATGTCTGGCTAAGATAGCACAAGGCTCAAGTGGACATGTCAAGTGGACTTTTCAGCCAAGAAGGGAAGCCGGTCATACTTTTGTCTCCAAATATATTAGCTCATAGAGTACAAAAATTTATTTTTTAATATACACATCTTTTAATGGAGAAAGTTATAAACACTTGGGTACTGTCTTAGAAAAAGCAAAACTCTCCAAAGAGGATGGTTGGAGGCTGGACCACAGACTGACATCCCTGTTTGAAAAACTGCAAGATGTCTTGTCCTCTGGGAATGCATTATTCTAACAGCTTGCTTAATGCTTTTATTTCCTGTGGAGTGGGCTGGGGATGGGAGCTCAAAGCAGACACATAAATTGAATTATATAGAGGAGAACTTCTCTTAAAGTCTTTGCTGGGGCTGTTTAAGACACTGAACTCTTTCCTCTTGGCTCCAGGACTTTACTGTCCACTCTATTACGTTAGTGGGAGGACTCTTGTATTGAGGTCTGGAGAGCTTGTGACTGGGAGAAGAGTCAGTGTTTTGACTTTTTATGCCAACATCATCATTTAGTCACTCGTTTCACATTTCTCCTGTCAGTTGGGCCCTCGATTCAAGGTTACCTTGATTACTTCCTCAAGTCCTTAGTCAAGAATCTTTCTAAATTATTTTTCCTCAAAAAGTTCTTGTCTTTTCACCAACTCACTTTTTCTTCTTTCTGTCTTAAAATTAGACATATTCCTACTCTTTTCCAGCACGAAATTCTTCCCTCTTTTACCCCCTTAGGAAACGAATTCCATCCATTACTTCATCTTCAGTTATCCCTCTCTGCTGCATCTTTCTCCACTTATCCACCTGCAAGACTATCCCCCTGAGATACCAGCATAAGAGATTATGTATGTGGAAGTGCTCTGTTACTCTAAAGTGGAGCATAAATATGGAATAGCACTGCTATCCTGACTTTCTTCTTCACTCCACAATCATCTCAAAAAGTTGTCAGTATAAAGTATTTCTTGATTTTACTTTCTCACTGTTCAATTCATTACTTAATGTCTTAAAATCTGACCTTTGTCTCCTAAAGTACTGTTTTTGGGTTCCACATCTTTATCTTCCTTCCAGCATGGGCCACAGTTGACTATGCCCTTCTCTTTTGGTTTCTATAACCTCACTCCCTTGGTTCACCTTCTCTCTCTCGCACCACTCCTCTCTCTCCTTTAATGCTCATCTTTTTCCTTCTACCTCTGAATGTGAGTGGTTTCCATCATGCCGTCCTTGCTCCTTCTGCCTCTAACTCTCTCTCTCTCTTGTTCTTGTAAATACATCTTGAAACAGCTCCCAGATCTCTCTCTTCCCTTCAGCCTGTTAAATGCCTGCTGACAATTTTAACCTACATATGTCTTTAGCCTCCAGATACAATGTATATTAATATAAACTCTTACCCCATCCTAAATATCTTCCACCTTATCTCAGCCAACAGTGTTACTTTTCTACCCAGTCACCTCGGCTTGAAACCTTGGTTCCATCTTTGATTCCTCTCTCTCCCTTACCTCTGAATCCAATTTTAGCCTTATTTTAGGGACACATTGTTTTCTTCACCTACCTCCTCTCTGTCCCTCCCCTCCCCCTTACTCCCCTCAGGCGCTAAGAGTTCTGGTTGCTGGAGTAGCACACAGTCTGTTATTTCGCTTTCAGTGGGGTTTCCCAGAAGTATTTTGTGGCCATGCTTTTGTTCTCTTCCTCATTTTTGCTTCTTTCCCTTTTCTGGGCTGAATAGCCATTTGAACTTTATTCACAGAGATCACTGAATCTTCTTCTACACAGATATCCTTCTCAAAACCTAAATACCCACTAGTGTGTTTAGAATGGCCTGTGTAACATGCCTAGTAACAAATGTAAGCTGACCATTGTTTATAAGCAATGATGTAAAAAATACATTCCATAGCTATGTCTTTTATTAACGTAATTTGCATTTTCAAATACAGTCAGTATCTTCATATTAGGACAACATTTCAACCATATTTGATTTAGAAAGCTGAAGTTTTGAGGATTTAATGATGGGCTATTGAATGTACACTAAACATATTGCTTGAGTTTTAATACATTTCCAGCAATCATCAGAATATGATATAATTCCAGTTTATTTGTAACCTCATCAGAAACCTCACCTTTCAATCTCTAGGACTCAAATCCTCTTACTTTATTTCTGCAGGTCTATTTAACAAAGAATGATTAAGGACAGCTTCAGTCTTCCCAGTTTCAACACTAAAGATGTATAATGTAACAAATAGCATACTGTGCAGCTACAAAAAAGAGTAGGAAATCTCCTTATGTGTTTATATGGAAAGATATATGTTATAGACTGAATGTATCCCCCCAAATTCATATGTTGAAGCCCTAACCCCTAGTGTGATGTTATTTGGAAATGTGGCCTTTGGGAGGTAAATAGGGTTAGATGAGGTTATAAAGGTGGGGCCCTCATTGTGGGATTACTGCTCTTATAATAAGAGACAGTGTAGGAGAGCTTGCTGTCTCTCTCTGCCGAGTGAGGACACAGCGAGAAGGCAGCTGTCTACAAGCCAGGAAGAGAGCTCTTAGCAGAACCCTAGCATGCTGGCACCCTCATCTCGGATTTCCAATCTCCAGAACTGTGAGAAAATAAATTTCTGTTGTTTAAGCCCCCAGTCTACGAGATTTTGTTACGGCAGCCCAACCTGACTGAACAATCTCCAAAGTTTATTTTTAGGTGGGGAAAAATGGGTGACAGAAGATTGTACTAAAGGCGTGGGGAAAAAAAGAAGAGAAAATAATCTATGCTTGTACTGGCCTGTATGTACATTTATAAAGTCTTGGGAAATCAATGAGAAACTAATACTGTTGGTTACTTGTTTTGAAGGGATGGGAACTCGGTAGATAGAAGACAGGGGTGGAAAGGAGACATTGCTCTATATCCTTGTATACTTTTTGATGCTTGAACTATGAGAATGTGTTACTGCTTCAAGAAATTAAATAAATAAAATTTATTTAAAAAATAACACACTTTTTATTTGGAAAAAGACTATACAGAAATAAGGAAAATACTGATTATATTGAAAGAAGATTGCTGACTAGCAGAATAATTATAGCAGAAGTTGATATTTGATGTAGGCACAATTTGAAGAAGATGAAGGAATATGAGTGGTTGTATTAAATTGTTTTCTCAGTCAGTTCTTTAATAAGCTCCATGGCGATGTAAACAGTTCTTATTGTCTACTACTCCTTTCTCACATCTGCTTTGGTTAGTGCCAGCAGAGCTTGAAGAATTATTTTAGGGACATTATATCACGCTACCCCGGAGTGTTGTCCTTAAATATAATTCTGATCATTTCATTTCTGTTTAACATCCACCAAAAATTTCTTCTCCATTGGTGATCTGGCCTCTACCTATCTTTCTAGCCCCATCTACTCATTTTGAGCTGTTTTGGCGTGACCTCAAAGTACCTTTCTTTCTGTCCCCATTTGGAAATACCATTTGCATTACCTGGACCACCATTCTATTTTTTCCTTTTGATGAAGCACTGCCAAATGGAGGTGAGTGTTTTTCCTGACAGCACCCTGTGTTTATTGAGTATCATTGAGATTCTCTATGTGCTTGTTCCTGCCTATCAGATTCAGGAAGTTCAGGGGCCATAGCATATTCATTTTGCATCCCCAATGCTGGCATCCAGTAGGCACTTGATGGTTGAATGAATGAATAAATATGCAGTCTGACTGAAATGTTAAAGACAAAAATATCATAGTACCCTATAATAAAATCCTAACCAATGTTCAGGGAAAATGCTTCGCAGGAGAATTCTAACTCTCAGCATTTTAAGTGTTATTCAGCCCCTGATTGACTTGTAAGAGCTGAATTCTGTCAGGCCAATTCTCCATGAGCCTTTTGATTTTTTGAAAGCTTTCGGTTTTGCAGATTTCTTGTGTGTGGTTTGAAAACTCTTCTAGCACCCCTCTACTAAGGCATCTCTTTGAGGATCTCTGTTTAAGAGCATTTATTTCTAACATTTTAAAGCATAGGTGACAGCTCTCAATCCAGTGGATTTTCATCCTTATCTCCAGAAAACCAGATTTTTTATGCTTTGTGGTAAAGTAAGTTACATACCTATAGAAATCACTCTGTGGAAGTGAGCCTTCCGCTAGAACCCCAAATGCACGTTTGCTTACCAGAGAACAAGAGTAACAGCAGGCTAATCTCTCCTGTTTTGTGGTTAGATATCTTTCTCTTGTGTCTTTCTCAAAGATGTTCTTTAAAATGTTGTGAAATTTTCAGAAGACAAATGATTAATATTTTCAAGCTGAAAGAATTCACTTTCCAAACTAAAGGGGCTGATTTTGGAGGGTTTCAGCTGTGCTAACTAGGAACTAGTGAGACAGATTCTAGAATTAGGCCCATTATCTTTTGTTAATTCAGTTTATCCTGAACACAGAGAAAATAAATGCTAGAATTCCAGCTATTCAGACATGCTTATGTAAACACAGTTGCTTAATAATTTGTTTTCAGAGTTCGTTGACTTTAATTGTCCTACTGATGCTGTTGAAATGTGCCCATTGATATATCTAATATGTTAGTACTCATTTTCTACAGCATCTTCAGATCTAATGTACAGCATGATGACTGTAGTTAATAATACTGAATTGTATACCGGAAATTTGCTAAGAGAGTAGATTTTAGGTGCTCTCACCACACACAAAAAAATGGTAAATGTGTTAGGAGATGGGTATGTTAATTAGCTTGACTATAGTAATCATTTCACTATGCATAAGCACATCAAAACAAGTTGTACTCCTTAAATATATGCAATTTTTATTTTAAAAAAGCCACAATTTGCAATAGAGTGAATGCAGAAGGAGATATGAGAGTTCGGCTGTCCTCCATTTTGCAAAAATGTAAAATAATGCCACTCAGTACATTTTTTTGTTTTGGAGATTATGCTTATTTTTTCACAAAAAAATATCTTGTGTTCACCTGGGAATGTGGCGATGAGCTCTGTCACAAGCCTGAGTTCGATATACATTTGAGCACAATCCTGACAACTTTCTCAATACAAATAGCACATTTGCTCTTAGTGACCTGTGGCTGAAGGCAGAACTTAAATCCAACAAAATTTGCCAGTTCTGATGCCATTTACTTCAGAGATTGGAGATAAAAACCATAGGAGTTCTGGAATATTTCTCCCACCCCATAACTTTAGTTATTTTGCACTCACCAAATCTGCAAAGTCTCCAGATTTGCCCTGAGTGTCTTAATTAAATAATTAATTAAGCCCTTTTGGAATCCAGCAGGTCCCTGTGGGTTGCTTCTGTAATTGCCTCTTCACTCATCAGCTAAAGGTCTGCCTAAGCTACTGTCTTGTTTGTTCTCAATATGATGTTTTCCTGATTTAATTCATGCCAGTGTTTATTGGGTAGCTTATGTGTGTCTTTTTTTATTGTTATTATCTGTTCAAAATTGTAAGGTCCCGGAAGACAAGACCTGAGTATCCTTAATTTATTTTCTATGGAGTTTACACAGAATTATATGATATTAAGCAGGTAATAATTATTTTTAGTGTGATGATGAAGACAGGAATGTATAGTACACTGATAAAGTGTGAATTTGACATGAAAAAAGAAACCTACTGAAGGTCTAGCTGTGCTATTCATAGCGCACAGTAGCCTGTATCAGTTGCTAAGAAGAGTTTAGTGTTATGTGAAAGCAGTGATGAAAATGTTCAAAATAGCCAATTCCCAATGACTCATAGGGTACGTGTGTCCTTTAAGTTTCTCACCTGCTTTTGTCCTAGGGCCACGTTTCTGCTTTTATGTTTCCAGACAGAGGCTGAAAAGGCATACAGGAGGTGAAATCAACCACTTTTCTAAATACTGGTAGTTTTGGTAATAAGGTTACTCAACGAGAAGGTGGTAATGATTGCTCAAGCATTGTTTTTA